GGCTTAGTTCTCACAGAAAGGTGAACATGTGCCCAGGCTGTACCACCTCAGACTTCAGGGAAGTCCTGCAGTCCACATAGAAGACCACAGAGAAAATGTCGTGCCTGGGAGAAGGGATCTGCCCTTGCCTCTGCTGCACCCTGCTCTTAGTCACATCCCCAGAATGGAAGATGACAGGATCCCCAAGGATGTGCTCTACGTGGAGCTGGCTTCAGGCACTAGACCTGATGGCAGACTAGCTCTACAAAGATGTCTGCAGAGAAGGGTGCTAACTTGCATAAAATATTGGGGGGGGGGGAGGTAAGCCCCACCACACATAATTGATCATATGATGCAGTGCACACACTCCATCTGAATGGCAACTCCATCAACTTTGGGGCCACCCTCAATTGGGGGGACCAAAGACCCCTCGCCCCCTAGGAGTTGAATACTATGTCTGCAGACACTGCATTAGGGCTGGCAACATCTATGTGGGAATCCCTTGCAGACGGCCACAGTGCCTGGGGACAGTCAAGTCATGCATCCACAGCAGTCACCAGAGGCGGAATGGCTGCTGGGAGGAGCACAGAGAGAAGAAACAGTCTTCGTCTGCCCCATATGCCTCTCTCATATCGGTCTTTACAACCCCAGCAGATGCTGTAACCTTCCAACAGTTTGACTTCACCCCAAAGGTGCACTCCCTTGTCTCCCAAGACGGACAGACCCTAGCCATTGCTATATATATATATCCATTCAGTCTTCCAATCCCTATCTGCAAAGTGAAATGGTATGATTCAGACACTAAGGTCTACCTCCCCAGTGAGTGCTCGGTCCCATTTTACAGCACATCATTGACAAAGTGGTCACTGCTAATGTCTGACCCTAGAAAAGGAGTGTCTTGTTCCAACCACCTCTTTTCAGATGATTAATGTGTAGGAAGCCCGTGACAGACAGGCTGCTTCAGGCTGCTGCAGATTTGCAGATTTGTTGTTTGCAGATGCCACCAAAAGCTGTATTAATAAAGCATATGTGACCTACTTCCTGGAAGCTTCTTTAAGAGGTGGCATCTATAGGAGGAGGGTGAACTCAATCAATATCAATTTTACTGGAACCATTTCTGTTTATCAGCCCTGTTTACAGGTAAAGGTAAAAGTAAAGGGACCCCTGACTGTTAAGTCCAGTCGCGGACGACTCTGGGGTTGTGGCACTCATTTCGCTTTACTGGTCGAGGGAGCCGGCATACATGTGGCCAGCATGACTAAGCCACTTCTGGCAAACCAGAGCAGCACACGGGAACGTTGTTTACCTTCCCGCTGGAGCGCTACCTATTTATCTACTTGCACTTTGACGTGCTTTTGAACTGCTAGGTTGGCAGGAGCAGGGACCAAGAAACGGGAGCTTACCCCATCGCGGGGATTCGAATTGCCGACCTTCTGATAGGCAAGCCCTAGGCTCTGTGGTCTAACCCACAGCGCCACCTGCGTCCCACCAGCCCTGTTTAGGGAAGTTTTTAATGTATGATGTTTTATCGTGTTTTTAATATTCTATTGGGGACTGCCCAGAGTGGCTGGGGAAACCCAGCCAGATGGGTGGGGTATAAATTTATTATTATTATTAATAATAATAATAATAATAATAATTTCTGCAAAGCTACTGCCAGACAAAGATACTCCCTACCCCTAAAAGCAGTGATGACTAGGTACAAATACAATAAAGAGAACAAACCCATTCATGCTATTTTGTTGCTTGGGGCGTTCATTTCATAATGAATGAAAGCTGAACCAAATGGGCCCAATTTAGTCCAATTTCTAAATCATTCATTATGAAACAAATTGATGCCCCATCAGGTAAGCTGCTGTCTCTTACCCTCCTATCTGCAATATATAATTAATAATAATTTGTATGTACTTAAAGGATTTTATAGGCTTTCAGGCAGCAGACCATCACTGAGCCTTTTAAACTCTACCTTCTGGTTTCAAACCATATGTGATTATCCCCTCAGGAACCATATGTGATTATCCCCTTTGTCGTTTCTGCCTACTCTGAAGTATAAAAACAGAACAAAATGCCCTTAAAATACACAGTATTTTTTTCTAAATGAGATTGCAGTCTTTTGCATGCATATATATATATATATATATATATATATATATACCGTAATTTTTGCTCTATAAGACTCACTTTTTCCCTCCTAAAAAGTAAGGGGAAATGTGTGTGCGTCTTATGGAGCGAATGCAGGCTGCGCAGCTATCCCAGAAGCCAGAACAGCAAGAGGGATTGCTGCTTTCACTGCGCAGCGATCCCTCTTGCTGTTCTGGCTTCTGAGGTTCAGAATATTTTTTTTCTTGTTTTCCTCCTCCAAAAACTAGGTGCGTCTTGTGGTCTGGTGCGTCTTATAGAGCGAAAAATAGGGTGTGTGTGTGTATATATATATATATACACACACACACACACACACACACACACACACAACTCAGTGGGGTTTATTTCTTTTTACATTTATACCCCACCTCTTCTTCAAAGACCTCAAGTTGGAGTGCACCCCCCTCCCCATTTTATTTTCTCCTCACAATAACCCTGTGAGGCAGATTAGGCTGAGAGGCTAATGACTGGCTTAAAGTGAGCTCCATGGCTGAGTGGGGATTTGAACCCTGGTCTCCAAGGCCCTAGTCCATCACTCTAACCACTAGGTAAAGGTAAAGATAAAAGTAAAGGTCCCCGGGATGGTTAAGTCTAGTCAAAGGCGACTATGGGGGTTGCGGCGCTCATTTCGCTTTCAGGCCAAGGGAGCCGGTGTTTGTCCACAGACAGCTTTCTGGGTCATGTGGCCAGCATGACTAAACTGTTTCTGGCGCAATGGAACACCGTGATGGAAACCAGAGCCCACAGAAACGCCATTTACCTTCCCACTGCAGCAGTACCTATTTATCTACCTGCACTGGCGTGCCGTCGAACTGCTAGGTTGGCAGTAGCTGGGACAGAGCAATGGGAGCTCACCCCGTCATGGGGATTCGAACTGCCAACCTTCTGATCAGCAAGCCCAAGAGGCTCAGTGGTTTAGACCACAGCGCCACCCGCATCCCTGTGGTCTAACCTCTATTCCACACGTGAGTTGCCATATATCAAAAAGTAAAAACCAGGACACCCCAAAGTTGTTGAGCTTTTTGCCTAAGATCCGCCTTTCAGAAATTCCCTTCAAATGTCAATTCCACCTTTGAAATCCCGGTAATGTCTGGGAAAATCTGGATGTAGGGCAGGCCTATTCCACACAGGGTCTCTTTGTGTATTTGATGTATGGAGCAACATGTATGGAACTGGGCTGTTAACCTTGGCACAGTCTAGAGCAACTTACGAATTTACCTGTAAGCTTCGCCCTCCATAAAAGAATATATATTAGCCCTCATGTTAATAGATACCTGAAATGGTTGGAGATTTCCAGTGCTTTTTCCCCCTTTAAAAATGTTTAGGGGTACTCTCATTTTGACTCAATAAACTCACCATTTTATAATTCAAATTGGGAAAAATAAATACAGTAAATACAACAAAACTGACCAGTCACCATGCTAGATTCCAACTCCTACTTCACACATTAAACACTCACTTCTGTCTGAGACTCAGGAAACATCGTGACAGAAAATGAGGCTGCCATCGGGGGGAGCAATGGAACTGACGATTCACCATGCTAGAGAAGAAACTATTTTTTAAAATATAAAAAAATAGTTTCTTCTCCTGTTAGATTCACAAAATGTTTTGGGGTATGCGTACCCCTGCATCCCTGCAGAAAAAAAGCACTGGAGATTTCTGTTTATACGGCCAGCAGTTATTTCATGTGAAACGCTGAATCTGAGCGCAAGATCTGCACAGACCAAAGCTTGAACGAAAACTCGCTTCTCCCAAGTTTGCCATCCCTTCGCTACAGGTTGTCATGAATAATGTACCGTGAGGGGACTGTTTGGGACAAATGTTGCCCACATCTTCCTGATTACATCTGATGGGGCTGTCTGGTGCTTCACTTCCATTACTGGTGTGCTTGCTTGCTCCCTTTTCTTTAAAAAAAAAAAGTAGACTGGAAGAGATCATAATTGGAATATGCAATTATTATTTTAAAACCAGAGACTTTTAACTGACACATTTTAATAAACTGCCATGGCAGCAATGCTCCTGGGGCCTAGCACATCATTTCAAATGATGACAAGAGATCTTGGAAGACAGGTGCAAGAGTCTGGGGACTGTGTTTTTCCCCTCAATGTGTTTCAAATATAGAAATTAAGAATGATCTGTATTTTTAGTGGGGTTTTAAAAAATTAAATATGGAATTACTTCCTCTGTATTTTGATGCAAGGTGGATCAAAATGTGCCCAGGGAATGGGCAGAAATGGGGGGGGGGGTAGGAGGAGAGAGACTTGTCAGGGTGTGCAGTAGAAATAGTACATTTGGTGGAGTTTAAAGTCAAAAGTATGGAAAAAATTGTACAGCGGGAGGATTCTGAGGGCAAGCAGCAGCAAACAGCACTAGGAACTATGTTCTGTGCAAATCAGCATGCTGTTTCCAGAGTTGTGATTTCATGGGTCATTGTGAGGCAGGGCCCTTTTTGTTGTGGCACCCAGACTTTACAGCTCTTCTCCTGGAGAGGTTTTGTTTGCACCACACCCTGACAAGTCTCTCTCTTTCCCTCCTGAACATCTGCTCCAGATATCTGGGAACAGGTGGGGCTTCAGGAAAGGGTGAGACCAGCGACATTTGCTACTCCCCCAAAGTGGCTCTCCAGTTGGGGTGGAATCGCTATGCTAGCTTCCTGGCAGCTGAGCTGCTGCTGCTTAACAGGAGGGAGAGTTGGACAGGCAAGGTGGCGAGAAGATTGGCATGGTCTGAACGCACCAGTGGCACTAATCCGGAACTCTGTCCTCCCCAGTTACCCACATCTGAAGTTCCCTTCCAGAAGCAGAATCCTCCAGCATGTTGTCAGCCTTCCTTTATGGAAGGGAACTCTGGACTCAAGCCGTTGGAAAAAACTGGTAGATTGGGAGCCAGAGCTGCTGACAGAATATCAGGGCCCAGAACAGATGGGAATTCATGAGTTGAGCCTCTGTTCTCCAGAGCTCATAGAAGAACTAACACTAGATCCCAGGGAAAGGGACCGGTATCTAAATGGCTTCTGTCACTTGTGTATAATTACAGCATGTACTTTTGCTGTGCCCTGGCTATAACTGCAAACCAGGCAGCCAGAAACATAAGGAGCTTAAATGGACAGTTCTAAAGCAGCTAAAAGGCTCAAGGAAGCAAAAAGCCAATCCACCCTCCACGATTTTAAAAGCATGCGTAGGGGACTTGCTTTTTTTCCAATTTGTACCGGGCCCAGAGAATCTCTGCTTGGGAAATGGAGGTTGTCAAAAGTCATGGAGACATGAGTCACTGGACTTTTTTTTTGTAGAGCCGAATAGGATCTGGTTGAGAAGCAGAATTCTGAGCAAAGTGCAAGGTGGAATGAGATGTGCTGAGCCAGGGGTGAGGAACCTGGGGCCCTCCTGATGTTGTTGGACTACAGCACCCTTGGAGGCTCATGCTGATGGGACTTGGAAGTCCAAGAAAACCTGGAGATTGACAGGTTCCCCACCCTTGTGCTCTGCAAATACAGGGGGCAAAGCTACAGATGTGCTTGTCTTATCCTCACCACACCCACCTCTTTAGGCTCAAGATATTTCAGAAGGAAGGAAGATCGAGGTTGAATCCTAACAAGACAGAAGTACTGTTCTTGGGGGACAGGGGGCAGGTGGGTGCAGGGGGATTCCCTGGTCCTGAATGGGGCAACTGTACCCCTGAAGGACCAGGTGAGCAGCTGTCCATGGAGGTGCAGGTGAATTCTGTGTCCAGGGCAGCTGTCTACCAGCTCCACCTGGTTTGCTGGCTGAGACCCTACCTGCCGGCAGACTGTCTCACCAGAGTGGTGCATGCCCTGGTTATCTCCTGCTTGGATTACTGCAATGTGCTCTACACGGGACTACCTTTGAAGGTGACTCGGAAACTATAACTAATCCAGAATGCGGCAGCTAGACTGGTGACTGGGAGTGGCCGCCAGGATGATATAACACATAATGGGGCAGGAGAGGGGAGTCATTCTGTCCGGGAAGCCAAAATGATTGTGTTGATGCAGCGATTAGAAGAGCATCATGTTGCATTTCTCCCTTTGTATTTAAATAAGTGCCGGACAGGCTTTTACAGGACAAATTAATGGCGTGAAGAGCATTTAGCATTGTGTAATGGTTTGGGTGGAAGGAAGTGTGCTCAGTCAGTGATCCTTGATATGAACAGAAGGTGGTGTTCCAAGTACACAAGAGTTGTCCCTGTTTTAATGTGCAAAATGTTGGCGGGTGTGTAAATGTTGCTTTAAAAAAAATATGAATTTACCCACATGCAAAAAGACTAAAAGTAAAATCCCAGTCAGGAATGACAAGTCCAAAGGGAAATACACACTGCTGCCACCTGGAAGATGACATTAACTAGACAAATATTCACCAAGCTGCAATGAGCTAGAAACAAACATCAGTGCCATTTCTGATGCTTTCCGCTGCAGGCGTTTATTTGGTTCTGTTATCTTTTCATGCCACAGAAATACTCTTATTTCTTGGTGTTGAGCAATTCACCATGGACATAACACTAGTTCATTGAGTAAAAGCTTGTCTGGATCACTAAACAACAGCCATTAGGGTTGAGCACAGAAAAAAAAAATGCTTCAGAAATTACCTTGCTGGCTTGGGTAGTGGACTCTTTTGGTTCAGAGTCTTGGAATGATATCATGCTTTGGACTGTATCCAAGCCAGAGGTTGCTTCACTTCATTTCCCTAAACCTCAGATGTCTTCCTTGTTGACTATAATGAGAACACCAACAAACAAAAATCGATAACTGTTTTATTTTTAGGCAGGGTTGGATATTGCAGCCCCTTCTGAGAGGTTGGTGCCTGAAAAATTTCAGACAAACCTAATGATAAGAAACACAACTGCAATCTTGCCTTCATTGAATTATTTTGTGAAAGTTTGCCACAGAATTTCAGAATTCCAGGTTCCATTGCTGCACCCATTTGGGGGGCCAAGCACTGGAATTTGGAAAGGGACTGTTATATGGTAATTTTTCTGTATCTTTTTAATTTACTTTAAAAATCAGGATTTGGAAGGCAAAAGCAATTCCAAGTGTTATATGGAAGTTAGCAATCAGCAGGTGGCAAAAGGGAAGAAGGGCGATTCTGGAAACTTAATAGTCTCTGGGCAAATTTGTGAGCATGTTCTAAAAATATAACATAGGCTCTCGGGAAGTGGCATTATTTTTTCAGGCACAAAATTCTTTCTCTCTTAATTGGAAAGTGCCAGAGGTGGGGTGCTCACCTTGAAGCTCATTATCTTACACAGTATTTTCCCCCTCCCCAATTTTCTTGCCCTTTCAACTTCTGACGACTTTTTGTCTAAATTGAAGTAGTAATTTCAGCTTGGAAAAACTTCTTTTTAAGAAAAAGACCCAGCTCTATGTTGTCAACTGGGCAAAATTAGTTGTGACTGTTAATGAGGCAGCTTTACTTTAATTCTACCTCAATGTTCTGCCATGCCCAGCTATTTATAAACTAGATGGACTTTTAAAAAACAAAAACAAAAATCACACATTTGCTTATCTCTTTACCTTAAGGGGTAATTGCTGAGATGATGAGAAAGTATTGCAATTTTGTCTTCCTTTGAAATATCAGTGTGGGCTGTTGATGCTCTGTTGGTCTCAGGGAAGAACAGCTCATGCCTATGAACGTTTACTCAAAAGTAAGTCTCACTGAATTCAATGGCAGTTATTTATTTAGATGCAAGTATGCACAGAACACAGGTGGCGCTGTGGGACGCAGGTGGCTCTGTGGTCTAAACCACTGAGCCTCTTGGGCTTGCTGATCAGAAGGTTGGTGGTTCGAATCCCCACACCGGGGTAAGCTCCCGTTGCTCTGTCTCAGCTCCTGCCAACCTAGCAGTTCAAAAGCACGCCAAAAAGTGCAAGTAGATAAATAGGTACCACTCTGGTGGGAAGGTAAATGGCGTTTCTGTGCGCAGCTCTGTTTTGGTGTTCTGTTGCGCCAGAAGCAGCTTAGTCATGCTGGCCACATGACCCAGAAAAACTGCCTGCGGACAAACACTGGCTCCCTTGGCCTGTAAAGCGAGATGAGTGCCGCAACCCCAGAGTCGTCTGTGACTGGACTTAACTGTCAGGGGTCCTTTACCTTTATGCACAGGACAGCAGGCTCTGTTAGCCAAGGTAAATACAACCATGATCTTTTTCAGATTAGAGAGCTTCTGCTGTTATGAGTTTGCATGTTTTACCCTCTACCAGATGGCGGATTGAGGCCTGCTTCTAGCTTCCAGCCCTGACACACGCTACTCTGGCTATTGTCCTTCTCACTACCAGTCAGGTGAGGGAGGCAGTCCACCTATTTGCCCTCTGGCACAAAGCAGCTTCCTTTCTTATACTAACAGCCCATGAACTCACCAAGAAACTTGTCTGGCTCCTTCAACAATGGAATCCCCCAAACTCACAACAACATTCTGTAGGGTGTGGCTGGATGGACTTTAAATATATGATGTGGATCTGACCAGTGTTGTCTTGCACATTTCCTGGGTGAAGTACACGCCGAAGCTCCATTTCAAACATATTGTTTTTGGAAAGGATAACATGGTTCCTGGAGAACTCTAGCATTCAGTTACTTCATGTTGGAAGCAGTTGGAGAGAAACAGTTATGCTAATCTATTAGCAACTATTAATACCTCAAATCATTGGCTTGTCTGGCCCTATAAATTTCGGCTTCCTAAGCAGCATAGTGTAAGAAGAAGCACCGTTCTTACTCATTTCCCTAATCCCTTATCCGTACATGCCATGTTTCAATTTTGAAGCTTGCCACTTGCAGTAGCTTTTGCTTATAATTACATTCCCCTTCATTCCCAGTTCCTTAAATCCCACTTCTCCTCAATTTGTCCTTGCAGATACTGTCTAAGGATTCCCTGACTCTCTCTCTCTCTCTCTCTCTCTCTCTCTCTCTCTCTCTCTCTCTCTCCATCTTTCCAAATACTTATTTGCTGTCTGCTTCTTTCCAAATTTTCACTGCATGTAATCCTTGTCACCATCTACAACCATCTGAACAACAAGAAGCAGAATTATTGTAACTGCTGGAGAGGATCGTTTTCTGACTTGGATGAAAATTGTGATGCTTGCCTTAAATCTGAGGTGACCCAGTGCTGTACCGAAAATGTCCTCCTGCTTTTATAGGGACATCCAAAAAAGAGGGGACATTTTCCTGTAGTTTTTGGAGGGAGCTGGAGAATGGCACTATGTTATGTGACGTAGCACTGTGGGATGGGGAAGTATGATCAGAATTGAAGATTTAAAAAGTGGACAGATTTGTCCATCACTAGTGAGGGGTAGGGTCTAATAATAGCTGGTTGTGGTGGGTGATTAGCTTGTTGCAGGCAGTGGCATAGTGTGTGTGGGGAGGGGGGCACAGGGGTGGTTTCCCTGGATGCAAAATTGTTAGGGGCACCAAATTTCAACACCTGGTGCTGCCTCAATACAGCTGGCTCCTCCGTGCAAACCAGGAAGTGACTTCTCCAGACAACAGAATGACTCTGCTTTTGTTATCTCTGTGGCTGTGATCTCCTGCATGACACGGACAGCATTAGGCAGTTGAATGTGCATGCATACTCTGTTTCCTCCCCTCCTCCCCCTCCACGTGGCCCTGGGTGCTGGCAACCCACGCTACACCACTGGGTGCAGGGTAGCACAAATGTCGGCATTTGTGGAGAAAGTGGGTGAAAACAGCTGACTCCTATGATGTGTGTGTGACACAGCACTGCTGGGTTTATGGTATACATTTTATTTGTCCTGTAAACTTTAAAAATGAATCTAATATGTAAGTGTCTGGTTTTCTTGCCAGCTCTTTCTTCCTATCTTTCCCTAGGCAGCATTTATATGTAGAGGCTCAAAAGAACTGTGGCAGGCGATGCTCAAGAGTTCTGTTAAACAAAATACTTTCTCAAAGGTGCTATTGAAGATCCATTAAACTCTGAATAGGCATTTATGTGATACAAGACTGCAAGGTTCTCCAGAGGCTTGCTGCTGGATTAGAACACTGTAAATGTCAAACTGAATATAAATAGATGCTCTTAAAAACACTTATTTAAAGAAATGCATTTGGGGAGGGGGGTGTTTCCAGTCTTATTTTATTGGTGTGTCTGGAGGATTCTTAAGCAGTTTCCAAAATGGTCACTCGCTCAAGAGCCCTTGCAATGGAAAGAGTGAAGACATCGCTGTAACCCGAAATGTAATTAGCTATAAAGGCCAAGGTATAAAACAGCAGGAGCAAAATCGGAGCGAAGAAACCATCGGTTACAGAAGGCAGCTCCCAACTTTCTGTTCCATTCTTTGAGAAGCCCACCAGGATGAGGCTCTGCGGATGAAGAGGAGGAGCTATGCAAATGAGTCAGATCACCATCACCACCAGCGCTCTGAATGGTTTATGGATTCTAAACTGCAGAGTGTCTGATTCCGAAGAGGCCAACCAGTAACTGAACCCGTGGAATCTCTCCCCTCCCTCCAAAAATGGTGATTTATGGAGCATAGCAGCAACTACAGTTGGCATAAGAAGTGGGGAGGGAACTAAAGTATGAAAAATAGACTCTACAGAAGGGAGACAGTTGGCAAGTAACACAGACATAAAGATGAACCTTCGAAGCTCACAAGAGGTTTTTGTTACCCTGTTATTTACAACTGCCTTCTCCATTACTAGGAGACTGATTTTCAGCAAAGGTCATAAAGAGTAATTAAGCTAGTAGTTTGAAAGGCATAGAGTTTGGAAGACACTCAGCGGGTCAGCTAGAAATCAAAGCTAATTCAATCCATTGAGTTGCTGTACAATATCAAGCTGTGGCCTTCATTATTTTAATTTCCCACAAAGGAAGATCAAGCAAAACTAAGTCAAACTGTACTGATTAAGGCAAAGCTAACAACTTCATTAAAGCACTCGCTAAGTGATTTTGCCGAGTGAATATTTCCAAGAGCGCAGATATGGGTATGCAGTGGGAAGGAATGATCAACTTTCATTCCTGAATCATGATGGCACACTCATCCCAGACGGTATAAATAAAGAGATGAATTGCGGTACTCAAACAGGGGGAAAGAGGCTAAGCAAACTAATTCCCGGGAACTAAGCATAAATTGTGGTGTAGATTGCAAACAAACAGACAAACAAACAAAAATTGTTGCACAATCTGATCCATTAGGCCAGGCCAACCTAAAAAGGGGCCATGATGCGCCTAAATCTTAACATTTTTGCAGCCAGCAGCGTGAAAGCTCTATTCATCTAGAAAGAGAGAGAAAAAGAGAAGGGTTGAACTGCAATACTGGAAACTGCTGCTAGGCATGAAGATCGATCTTGGAGGGGAAGAAACGGCAGAATTTGGAAGTGCAATAAAAAATAAGATGCAATCATAAACCACAACATAAAAAAACATATGTTTAATGCATATTTTATTTTTTATTTTCCACTTAGTGTTGTGATTATGCTAAGGCTAACAGCAAGTCATTTACACAAATCAGAAGCGGGGACAGGCTGAAATACTGTTTCAATTACTCGGCTCACAACAGCTACAACAACAGCCTCGCTATAAATAAGAACCGGATACTCCATAGCTTTGCAGATTAAGATGGAAGATACAGAGAATATTTGCATCCTGCTCCAGTGTACTTCCCTTCTAGAATTCAATGCTGCATGCCAAACAAGGGGAGAAATGCCTTCAGAGTCAGGCTCTGGGCTTCTGTTTCTGAATTTCCGTTAAAGAACGGTATTTTTGGTTGGAGAGAGATGTCATCATGGCACGTGGGGGATGGTGGTAGGATGTTGGAGAGTCACTGTCATCCATAATACACAGGGGAAATTTTTTATTGTTCTCCAGATGGCTCTGTCAAGTTTCAGGGGCCCCAGAGCAAGATGCCCTCTGCTGCCCACACCCCACAAGCACACACAACCTCCACTCATGCGCATGTAGTCACCGAGCACATGTACCCACCTGTGCATACTCAGCAATGCTTTTGCTCCTTAAGCCAGCACTGAGACAAATGGGTAGGTCTCCTCCTGCACTGAGTGCCACAATGCCAAATATGAAAAAAGCTAACAGATATTGCAAGGGCAACTGGACACTTGGCTGCTTTTTCGGTGGCAACTATGAATTTTTCACCACAGAGCCATCTGGGAGGTTTCACGCATTCCTATACGGCAGAGGTTTTCAACCTTTTTGGGTCCACGACTCCCTTGACCAACCACAGTGGTACCTCGGGTTACATACGCTTCATGTTACATACACTTCAGATTACAGACTCCGCTAACCCAGAAATAGTACCTCGGGTTAAGAACTTTGCTTCAGGATGAGAACAGAAATCGTGCTCCGGCGGTGCGGTGGCAGCAGGAGGCCCCATTAGCTAAAGTGGTGCTTCAGGTTAAGAACAGTTTCAGGTTAAGAACGGACCTCCAGAACGAATTAAGTACTTAACCCAAGGTACTACTGTACATTATTTCAGTGGCACACCTATAGGGCTCCGGGCTCCAGTTATGTCACCCCTTGCCTCCAGAGCCAGCAGCCCCTCACTGCTTTTTGAACATCCTCCCTTGTGGAGTGTTCCCACAGCCTCCTCTCCAATCCCCTCTCCTTGGCACACTGGTTGAAAACCATTGCTATACAGTGGTACCTTGGGTTAAGAACTTAATTTGTTCTGGAGGTCTGTTCTTATCATGAAACTGTACTTAACCTGAGGTACCACTTTAGCTAATGGGGCCTCCCGCTGCTGCCACGCCGCTGCTGCACAATTTGTGTTCTCATCCTGAAGCAAAGTTCTTAACATGAGGTACTATTTCTGGGTTGGTGGAGTCTGTAGCCTGAAGCGTCTGTAACCTGAAGTGCCTGTAATCTGAGGTACCGCTGTACAGTAACATTATTTTATACAGAGTGCAGACCGGATCTAAGTATGCACTTGCTCCTTCTCTAGGAGCAACAAATCTCTCTCTCGCCCATGGAAATGACATGAGTTCTATACAAATTTCTCACTTGGCAAGTTCCTTCACCCTGTCTGATTAACGGCAAGGTAGTCCAAAGGCTAACAGACTTTGGCTGAAGGAACTGGTGCCTGGCATTGAGAAGCTCCAGGAATCCAAGGTCACCCAGGTGTTTTTTAATTTTTTGTTTTTGACTGCTTTGCCCATCTGACCCTTGGCTGCTGCCTTTTAGAGAACAGGCTGTTCTACCCTTGCGTTGCCTGTAAATCTCTTTGCTTCTGGCAATGCGACGGATACATTCCCACAGTACCGATATTTCTTCTGCGATCTTTCTGCTGTTATACTTCCTTTAAAGTATTAGTGTCAGATTAAAGATGGATCAGAGGCTTTGCATCCTCTCTTTTCCTAGACATCCATATCACCTCTCAGGAGAGTAGCTCCTCCAAGAACTCATTGAGATACTGCCACCAGGAAAGGGTATCTGAAAGGCAAAACTTCTCAAGGGGACAAGAGGTGTGGAGGAGCTCTCTCAAGGCTTGCCTGCTCAGAGGGCTCAGCGGGACAGAGGGCTCAAGTTCTGGTATTCATAGCTCTCACTCTTTTGAGCCTTTTAAAAGTCTGAGGCTGTGAACACACTATACTTTTAAAGCACATGGCTCCCCCCCAAAGAATCCCAGGAACTGTAGTATACCCCCACAGAGCTACTGTCCCAGCACCCTTGCAAAACTGCTTTCCCCAGAATACTCTCAGGGACTGTGCAGAAGGGGAATGGTGGAGACTGTGTCCCCATCCTGACCCTTCCAGGGAGGAGGAAGACAGTATAGATTTACAACAGTGGTTTGCATGAGGTCACAGCTCAGAAGCAGATGAGGGGAAAAGTTGGGAAATAATGGGAGAGGAGGAGGAGGAGGAGGAGGAGGAGGAGGAGGAGGAGGAGGCAGAAGCGGAGTAGCTGACACAGTGTCATTAGAAAGCATCCCAGACCCTCCATCTCCCAGAACCCGGCGAGCCTTGAAAGTAGGAGAGCAAAGAGCTCAAAGACAGAGCGTATGTAGCAGCACCCATAGGAATGACGAATGATGAAGTGGGAGAGATGAGGGCTGAAGATTCACTCGGGGCAATGCCATCATCCAAGAGGCTGGGTTCTATAGCCTCTCTCCATAAATATTGAAATAAAAAAGGACAGTAAGAAATCTTGTCTTTATACTTTCCTTTGCACCCAGCTGGGAGCTGCTGACAGCATCCTGACAGATACAGAGGAAAATGGGAAGCTGCCATACATAGAGTTAGATTATTGGTCCTTTTACCTCAATATTGTCCACCCAAACAATATTTCCACAGTTTCAGATAGGGGACATTGCCAGCCCAACCTGGAGAAGTTCAGAATCAAACCTGGGATCTTTTGTTTGCAAAACAGATGCTCTACCACTGAGCTCTAGCCCTACCACATATATATGTTTAGGAGGGAGGCATTCATATGAAATGCAGTATTACTTCTCTTGTGCAGCAAAGTGTCCCCCCTGCTGAAATGCACCTTTCATCTCCACAATATTGTTCCCCCTTGGTGATGCACGCTTGGGATTAAGAGGTAGAGTACATGTGCCCCCAAGATTACTCATTGTTTTCAAACCCTTGCTGTCGAGAACTTTTCTCTTTACACTTACTGCCCTGGGTAGGAATCCCGTTCAGCTACCTGAGTATTTCGTATGTGCCACTGAGATAAATAGAAACAAGTTCCATTTAATCTACTGGGCATTTCACATAATACAGGGAATTATTCTAGCTGTGTGTCATTACCTCTCTCTGTCTCTCTCCTCCTTTCGTACTTTAAAAGCTGCTTTTAAAGTGACGTAGGAGAGGGTATTTCATATGGTTTTTTTTTATTATTATTAAAAAAGAGAGACACCTTTTATCTTCCCCCAGGGATAATAGCCAGAAATCTAGCAATCCTTTGTGTATACCCCATGGTAGCTTCATTTGAAAACTATTAGTGCGCCACTCAGCGTATCTTCCCAGCTCTTTCATTCCCTTGAGCACACTCGCCTGACATACTTCCCTGTTTACTTTCATTCCCAAACATCTGTCATTAGTGATGTGATTTCTGCAATCCTTTGATATTACAAGTGGCCTCCCCACCACAAACATCAGAAGCAGAAGCTTTAGCAGCGTCAGAGAGACATGACTGAAATGGCAATATGCGCCAGGAAATTTGCTCCTGAGATGCACTCCTCGCTGGTGCTCCCTTTAAGTGCCTCGATGCGCTGCCTGATTGGGCCCACTTGGTGGGGTTCAAATCAGAAACATTGAAAGAAAATGGACTTGCAATATATGGGATGGAGGGTCTGCTGCAAAGGACACGGGAGCTGCGACTGGCAATGGCTGTTCTGCTTTTGTCCTCTTGCTTTCCCTCCCTAGTATCTAGTTCTGATTGGTGTTTCCCTACCCCCTGAGTGATGCAATTGGCTGCTGTTGGCAGAAGCAGTGGGGATCTAGACACTGTGATGATGTCAGGATAAGGAGGAAGTAGAACGAGACCCACCAGCACTACGCTTTCCATTTTTATGTTCGGAATAGAGTAGTTGCTTTGGAGGTCAACAAAAGAGGTTTAAAGACTATCTCAAAGCAAATCTAAAAAAATGTAGTATAAACACCAACAATTGGGAAACACTTGCCTGCAAGTGCTCCAATTGGAGAACAGCCTTTACCAAAGGTGGCATGGCCTTTGAAGACACTCGAACTCAGGACTCAAGGGAGAAACATGCTAAAAGGAAGGCACGCTTGGCAAATCCACACCATGATCAACTCCCACCCGGAAACTGATGTCCCCACTGTGGAAGGATGTGTGGATCCAGAATTGGCCTCCACAGTCACTTACGGACTCATTTGTTAAAAACGTGTTTATGGAAGACTCAGCTAATCAGCCATGGACTTACTCAGCTACGAGTGATTGCCAAAGAAGAAGAACTAGACCCCCTGCCTTGTGGGACATCTTCTGGAGAAGAAAAGGCTAAAGAAATCCAAGTGGAGTCCCCAAGATAGTTGGATGGCACCTTGTATGCCTCCTTCTGACAACTCCTGCAGCCAAGCTGATGCCAAAGGTATTTCTCTGCTTTCCTTTGAACCACCTCAACAAGTCTTGTCATCTGGGCAGCCCAAGACCTCCACACATACTGCCCAGGCTTGCACACCAGGGAGGCCCAACCTCATCTCCCATCATCCCTGCCCATCGCGGGTTTCCTAACCTTCATTTTAAAGTCTCCCAGTGGGTTTGCTTTCTCATTGAGGAATCCTAAACTGGCTAAGAGACTGGCAATTTATTCATTTATCTTATTCCATAGAATTTATATACTGCTTGATGGTAGAAATCCTCAAAGTGGTTTACAGAAAAGGATGAAACAGCAAGGTAAAAAACAATCAACAGATTCAAAAATAAATAAATGAAAACCATTGCAATCCTTCACATGCTTGCTCAAGATGTAAATCTTTTTATGTTCAACAGAGCTTAATCTCTAGCAACGGTGATTAGAAATGGAGCCCAGAGGTGAATTTAAGGCAGTGAAACTGATTTCACTACACTGAGTGCTGAGCTTAGGGGCTGCCGCAGGGCACCACAACTATGACATAGTGAATTGAGCTGAACAGAAGGCAAGGGAGGGGAGGGGAATGCCAAATTTTGGCATCACACAGGGTGCCGCTGAAAGTTGAAAGTCCAAACTCTGCTCCTTCTGGAGCCTGAGTTCAAAATCAGAAAGTCCTTGACTCGGATTGTGTCTCTGCCATGAACTCCAAAGCCTCATTCTCTCTCCCACCCCCCAACCACCCTTTCAGCCTCAGCCCCTGCCATGTGATCTGGGGATAATAAAAGCTGATCTGTGTTACAGAGTTACTGCAAATATTAGAGCATCAAGATAATGCATGTGAAGTGCTATATAAACGCTCCATATAATGATGATTACTCTTATTAAACCATGCAACAGGTAATTAGGCTGGACAAAATAAGCTTTAAAATTAGAGGTCATTATATCAAAGCAGGGCCCTTCTTGTCAAGTAGAAGACAGGGCACAGGCAGCAGACATGCCTCTTGGAAACCAGCATTACACAAGAGTCCATAGGCACTGATTCCTAGGGGCCAAGGCACTTTCTGCCCCCTCAATGGTTTTCTGAAGGGGGGCAGGCCTCCTCAATGTTCAGAGGACATTTGGCTCTGCTCCCTGGCCAGTGGCGTAGCGTGGGTTGTCAGCACCCAGGGCAAGGCAAGTGATTTGCGCCCCCTAACCCGTGGATTTTAGCACGCCCCCCCAGCGCACCCCCCCTAGATGTTGCGCCCGGTGCGGCCGGCCCCCCTGCACCCCCACGCTATGCCACTGTCCCTGGCTCCTGCGACATCAGGACGTAACATCCTGAGAAGATGGCACCTCAGCAAGAGTTTGTTGTGCTGCGTTTGGCCTGAATGCTTCCTGAGTAAAGCTGCCCAAACCAAAGGGAGCAAGACTATGGGAGAATGTAGGTCAAAACAGACGTGACATTAGTTGCCTAGATTGGGCTTGTGTAGCCTTTTCTTAAACAAATGGGCAGAACGGCAGGGTGGGAGAGAGCCAGATTGGGACCATGGTGTGTGAGGAAAGAGGCTTTAGTTCTTTGTCGCTCCCACAGGCAGAATCAGCTGCTCCATCCCTGGTGCCTTGAAACAGGAGAGAATTTCTCATCAGTGTCCAATTTACAGGCAAACCTACCTCATTTGCTCTTTCTGAAATGCTACAAGAAGCGAAGCACAGCCATCTTTCAAAATCCACACTTCTTCAGATTTTGGAATGCAGTTGTCCGGCCAAGTAAAGTGAGCTAAAATGTATACACTCAGATAAAGTGTGCACAAAGCTGCCTATATTTGTGAAGATAACACACAAAAATAATGTTCTAGGGAAAATTTACATGCCAAAAAAATGTGTATATTAGGCAAAACTGCATGCAAACCTATCAGGAGAAAGTCACACAAAGATGCTGAGGACTTAATAAAAATCGCAAACTGAAATATGGAGAAATGTGAACATAAGATTGGAAAAATGAGAAACTGGGAAATACTGAAATTGACAGATTCACCCATCCCTACATGTATGTGCTATTTCCAGTGGAAACAAAACTCCTTATGGCCTCTCAGCCATAACTTTGTGGCATGGAGAAATCATAGCTTGCCACTGACTGCCTAGTTTCCTCAGCCAGAAGAAGAAATATGTCTTTTTAGCCTCTTGGTGCTTTTTTCCTGCAACAAATCCCTTCAGAAGCTGGGATCAGGCAAAAGTGACCTGTCTCAAATATGTACTGAAAGAGAAATAATGTCTGCCTGACACTGAAAAGTTATAGCATGCCATTAGTCAGTCAATCACTGTTTTTATGAAGCTGCCCTTGCTTTGGTCAGGGTAACTTGGCAAAGTTGTGTTCATCTCTCCTCTCCAGGGTCCTTCTGTACAAACGAAGGAATGGACTGAGAGGCATGTTTGCTTCTCTGTAGCCCAGAAGAGACTCAGGAGGGCAGAAAAGGGAGTGGGAGAATCAACGCTTGCCAATGTGAAGAGGAAAATGAATAAAGAGGGGAAGCAACATGACCTTCTAACTTCCAGGGAAATGCAATTTTTCGATTGACTTGCCTAAGATCCAGGACAAAGCGCCGCCTTTTGAAAGTTCCCACCAGATGTCAATTCCGCCTTTGAAATCCCGGTAACGTCCCGAAAAATCCAGACATATGGCAGCCCTACACATACCACACTCGCTAGCTAGTTTTCCTCATCTGTTAGGCAAAAGGTGACGTACGGCACTTGGGGTTTCCAGATGCTTCCATAGACTTCCACTTTGCTACAGTGGAGTTTTAAAGGCAGGGCAATGTGCTAGCTGTGTGCCATCCTAGGTATAATCAGAAATGCCAGTGAGCCTTTCTGCGTTTTGAATGTCCGCTGTATATAACAAGCATTTGATGTGTTGTTGTGTTACATATAGTGGGGGATACTCTCTCTGAGACCCCTCCTTCTCATCTTCCAAAATAAATCTGTGTAATGAAATTTGCATAATGTGCAACTAAGACATGCTGATTATGCAAATCGTGACCACTAACTTAGCATACCTAATTTGTGTCATTTCCAGCAGGTGTTTCATCTTTCCTCTTTTCATGTACAGTCCAGGGAAAGGAACGCAGGAGCGTTTGCTGACCTGGCTGCTCTCATTGCATCCAAAGACATGGAAGAAACATATCCTGGCGTTTGGGGGCTGACTTTTCTGTCCCATCTCACAGCAGCGCCATTTCAGGTTTGGTTGGCAGTGCATAAAGATTTGAGGGAAGAAAATAATCTTCATATTTTAGAGATGGTGATGACTTATACAATGTGCACTTAGTATTGTATTGGATGAGCAAAACGACAAGTCCCTGCAGTTTTCAACAGATTGCAGTTGAAA